TCTTCTTCTTCTTCTTTCTTTTTTCTTCACCGCAAGGAACTACACCTTCCACTTATGTTCCTCTATTCCGTGGAAGCAGAAACTACCGAAGAAAACAAGAGGTCGTGCTACTAAAACTGAAGGAGAGCCGTCCGAAGCCTTTTATCGTGAGAAGGAAGTGGAAGACGTCATGACTATTTGCGGTTGGACAAAGCGAAGCTTCCCTTTGCTCGCGTGGGAGTAGGCGAAGGTGGAGCGGAAACAGGTATCGCGAACTGAAGAGGCGAGTCAGAGCGGTCGCGACGATTTGCGATAAAGCGGAAGTGACGCTTCGCGATCGAGCAGGAGGCAGGATTGGGATCAGGCTCCAGCACAACACGAGCAATTATTGATTTTTGAGCTACATTCTCAACTCTAGCCCAAATTAACACAACTCGACCAAATCATTGATTACAGGTAGAATCAGACATTAATATTACAATTGCGAACAATAATAAGGAGGATCGAAATGAAAGAGAGATTGTTTGTTCTATAATATGATCAATTATCTCGATCACCTTGGCATAATAAATTTTTAATTCATACTAGTTATGAGTGAGCTTGCCAATATAGTCTTTTTTTTCTTAACATAACTAGAACAAGCATATGAATAATAGAATTATCTTTTTTTTTTTTCTCATGTGCTTTTGTCTCAATAATGATGGATCCCATGTTGTTTGCAAACAACAATAGAATTTTATTGAAAAAAAGTAAATACTAACAAGAGAATAAAATAGAGAAACATAAGGCAAGTCTAGAGAACACTAGACTTTTTTGTTGTACATTATATATACGTATAATACATGATGAAGCCCTATTAAGGCATGCCTGAAAAAGTGCATATAATTATTTATTTATATTGAACATTCATAATGATTTCTAATTAAGAACTGGTTTTTGTGGAGCCCCTTATTAATTTTATCATCATTGTTTAAATTTTGGCGAGTAAGTGAGCATGTGAACATGTGAAATCATAGAAAGTTTAATGAACAAGTTAAACTCTCCCTATCACAATTTCAAGCCTAACATTAGCCCAAGTGCTGTAAAGATATTAATCCTAAGATAAGTTCATATTCAATGAAGACTCTAACTTTGAAAGTGGTTCAAATTCGATGAATAATTCATATTTGATGAGTTCAAGTTTTCCAACGATTTCAAGTTTGAGATAAATTGAGGACCTTTGATAATCTTTAGCAAGAGATAAGTTCAAGCTTTTTAAAAACTCTAGTCTGAGAAGAATGTAGGCTTTTACGACGCTAAAAATTGAGACGAGTTTAATGTAATGTAATGATTTGATTTGATAAACCTAATCATGTTTAAGGCGTCATGCATGCTTAGAGCGGCCATCATTTTCCATTTTAATTACCATTATTATAATTTGTCCTAAAATGTTTTATCCAACCACCATAATCAAAACCTTAACTCATATAACAAAATTGACCAAAAAAATTAGATGTTGTTCCATGGATTTTATTATGGGAGGGCTAAATTATAGCAAGTCTATTTGCCCTGCATCTTGACAATTGAGAATTAAGCAGCTATCATATGGAAACAATGAAGTAATAATGAAGTCAATTTTTAGGCATCTAAATGACTAATCTATAACTTATAAATTTTATAAGGGTTTGCATGTATGCCATATAAGTTTTTAGGTATTTACATATTTAACATCAAAACTTTGATATTTACTTATATTACATTCAAACCTTTAGAACACATAAAAAATACCACTAATATTAATTTTTTAAAAGTGATATGCACCTTTCATGCAAATGTTTTCTTTGGATTAGGATAAGAAAGAATTATATAAATAATTATTAAAGTATTAGACATATAAATAATTAAGACTTGTGTCATATATATGTAAGCAAAAGTTTATTAGTTGAACTCTCCGGCATGGTCAATGGGAGAACTAAGTGCCCATACTTATAGTAAAGGAGATAAAATTTACTAAGAAAATGAGAATTTCATATGAAAAGAATATGAAATGAAATTTAAATTTTATAGTTTATTTTTACTTCAAAAACTATAAGAAAGCCCCATTTATCCTAAAACTATATAGGTCAAATTCTAAATTTTTAAATTCAATTAGTCGCTATAATTTCCCTTAAACTGTTAATTGATTGGGCATTAATTATTGTAAATATTCTAATTAAGGACATTTAAATTTAACGATAACTTTTCTAATATAAAGCATTTATTATGTTTCATCTTACACAAACTACGAAATAGATTCTTGTATATCATCTCACCCAATTCTTATGCATGTACTTATCTCACACCCAAACTTTGATTTGTACAAGTTAAGCACATTTTCCTATGTTTGAAAATATGAATGAAAATGTGAATTACATTTTTTACTGTAAGTAGGATGCTAGAAAAGTCAAGATAGTAAAATATAGTTCTTAATATAGATCTTATGTTTTAGCATTGCATGAAGATCTTGCGCACACACAAATAAAATAAGAATTGGATAAGCACACTCTAAAATTTTATGTGGAAACCCCATGAAGAAAAATATTAAAGGGAGCCCAATCAAAATCATAAGTTATGCATTTGAAGTTATAGATGTTCATTTTTTTCTCTAATTTGAGAAGTTGGGGTTACAAATATTTGAACATTTATTTATACTTCTATTGTAAAGATAGGGTTTGACAAGTACGAATATAAATCATGATATAATGATTAAACAATAATAGCCCAAAGGTAATAACTAGACTAAAATAGTCACTAGTGGTGGTCGACGACAACTATTGATAGTCACAAGTTTCAAGCTGTATTCAAGAGTGTTGACTTGGCATTTACCTTTTCAACCCATTAGTATTGATAAATGGGTCTTATTTATAGAGATTTAGAAGAGGCATTTTAATAAATTTAGCAAAAAAATCAAATAATTCTATAGGACGTTCATGATACTTTCCTTAATTGTAGATAAATTTTTCTATATTTTAGTATCCTAATAGTTTTATTATCTAGTGATTTTTAGCTTGTTGAATTTCTTTCATTTATCAACACAATTTGTCTATAAGTATGCCAAATTTATATATCATTTAACCCTTTAATTAATGTTTTAAATCTATTCGTTACGCTTCAAAGTACTTGATCCGAGCTCATTGGGACTCAGATTGAATCACTTTTAGAGTCATTTAATTTATATTGCCAAGATGTTCAATTCTCTATAAAGTTCACAAAATCGGAGCTCAAATCTTCTTAAATTTGATTATAATTTTTTTTAAATGTGGAATCTATCAAGATTCATACTTGATCAAGTGATTTTTTTAGGTCATATCAAGTACTAATTTATTAAAAAAATGCATCCTTTTAAGTATATATTTGAATGAGATTTAATAACCGAGATGTTCCTAAAATAAATACAAAATTCAAATATTAGATGTTGGACACACAAAAAAGATCTGCACAAATCTCAAGACAATCTAATGGTTTTGATAAAAAGATAGATAACAAAAATGTTCCAAAAATCAGTTATGAATATAAAAATTAACAATAAGAACCTGTAACTTCTCTATTAAAGTGAGAATTATTATAAATATATCAAATCTGTAACTTCCTTACTAAAATAAATGCATACATGTATTTTTTTTTT